TTCGTATACTCTTATAGTTTGTTACATAAAGGTAACCTATCATATCGTAATTGAAGTTATTTGTTAAATCAATGTAATTTTACTAATTTGACATATGTCAAGATGAATATAAATATAACCCCATCCAAGAAAATATATCCTTGGGACTGTACGTTAATACTGTAAGAAAATCCAAGTGTTTGTATCGAAGAGTCATTAACAGCAAATAAAATGTTAATAATTACCTTAATGATATGTTAAGACTGTGAAGTGAATCACCACGTGACCATCAAAGACAGACAACTGAGACAAATAATCAAAACTAAAAGATCAAAAATACTTTTTATAGAGCACTCTTTTCCATCTGAAAACGTCATATCAAAGCTTGTGCCATCAAACCAAATTTACGAAATTTGATGGCACATTTCCAAGTGTTGAGTCTTTTAGGTGCATCAGTTATATATATATATATATATATACATAATTATTTTATGCTTTAATGGAAATAACCTCAACAGAAGCTTCATATTAAATAAGAGATCTATTATCGTTAAATTTTGGGATTACTGTATCCTCTTACCTGGGGCCCGCAGTGGCCGCGCGGTCCGTGGGTTCGAATCCCACTCAAGCCATGGATGTTGTGTCGTGTTGTCCTGTGCACAGGTAGAGACCTTGCGACGGGCCCTCGTCCACGGAGTCCTACCGAATGTCTATAGATCAAGCCAACGAAAAGTTGGGACCCGCAGTGCTCAGGCACTTGAAGAACGGGTCGTTCCGAGTATCCTCTCACCTAAAAATTCCTTCTGCTTCAATATTGAAATCGTTGTGAAATCGGACTGATATCAATTTGGAGTCTCGTCGTACGACCTTCCACAGAGTTTCATAAATATGACCAATTCTTTCAGAATTATTAACACAAACAGAAAAGTCTATATGGCCTTCTTTCTTGTTTCGGAAAGGAAGCCATACCACCAACAATAATAATATTTCACTAATTCTAAAGGTAAAAATGTCCCTGTGGTTAATTATCACGTGGCACAGACGCATCAAGTCCAGGCAGCATTGCACCTGGGAAAAGAGTCACCGGAGTCCATCAGACAGCAGACGCAGAGGTGAAGAAGAAGGGGAAATTCCTGTCAATGCCAGGGCACGAAGCCGGTAGCCTAGTCACTCTGTTCTGACTGAGCTAACCCGGCTTTATCCGGGTTGGACTGACGAAATACTTTCTCAGATATGAAGATGGACTGGCAATCAGCAAACACGGGGACGTTTAATCAAACAAAAACCAATAAATAGTATGTACTTCGTCTGCAAGCTGCACAGTTTTGGCGCTTGTAATTATTTCTTTTTTACGAAACCTACATGACGCAGAATTTCATATCATAACCATTGCGAACAGCATGGTTAATGCCCTATATTATAATTCATTCTATGTCCAACGTAAAACGAAAATTAGTGAACCATTTGGATTTTAATGAACTATTACAAAATCATGAGACTCAACAAAAACCTCTTATTTGGTGTATAAACTACCATGGTTTGTTCCTGTACAGTGTCAAATTCCAGGAAAGTCATTCAACGGTTCCATGCATTGAACTATGGTTCCGTACGACACGTCATAAATTCAAGGTCACATCATCCGCCCTCTCCAAGTCTCAGTCACGACATGACAGAAACCAAAGTGTGCAACTGATACCACACGCTACAATTATGCCTCGTGTAGCGTGCACATCCAGTGTCCCCTCACTCCGTGACAGAAACAATTCTGTACGTTCCCCACGCTATTCTCTTGCTAGCAATAAGCTCTTTCCTGCCCACTAAATCCGTAAGCTTCACATGGAACCCACGACCATGATTTTTGATAGACTATATCCTGGCGGAAATGACGAACGGAAACTGTCATCCTTTTACTCTTCCCTTCATTCCGCTCCCTTTATCTTTTATCTTAATTTTCGGCCTATAGATTGCTTCTTCAGCTACGTACATTCATTTTCAAGTGGCGAAACGTTTCAGCTACACAATGATAAGATTTAAGGTATGTCGAGTCTTGGACATCTGTCATTTCGGCTTGAGTGTACAGTAAACCATCGTAGAACGCCGGGGATGCGTTTCTATAAATATTCGCGTCTGGTGGATCCGCGTTGGACGAACTTGATAGTGTATGGAATTAATTGGGATACGGGAACGCGGTCGTGGAAAGTCAAAGTAAATAAACAAAATAATAATAAATATACTGTAATTATATTTATTTATGAACAAAGTGTGTAAAGACATCGGAATGTTATGCTAACTGCTTGCTCCTACTCTCGTACCACCTAACAACTTATCTATAATCTTTATTTTTTCATCAAATATTATAAACCTTGTAACTTCTCTCTGCTTCATTATTACTTTTGCATTTACGTTTTAATTTAATAATGAACTACAAGGATAATACGATAAATAGTAAAACAAGGGAATAAAACAGGCAAGTTAACACAACAGAGTAAGGGAGATTGAGAACGCAGGCAAAAGCAGTTTGTGAGACGAAGAGGGGGGATAAAGAGAGAGGATAAAAGATACGGGATGAAGAAATCGCAGGAAGGTAGTCTGAATTTGAACGGACCGTAAGATCTTATCCGTAAAGTTGACAGAGAACGAAAAGTTTCAAAATAACAAGATTAGATTATTTTTTATCGTTCAGTCCATCCTGGGTTCAAAAACTCAAGCAACACATAACCTAAGATCGTTACATGGTCACTTTGAAGGTCTTCTAGTAGATATTTTATCACGTGATGCTCTTATTTGCAATCGATGGTAATGACTGATATGAATACTGAAGGAATCATGACAAGGCACAATTCAGAAAACTAGAAGCGGCTTATCTCAAACAACTTCAATCCTGTATAGGCCAAAAATGGTGTGAACTTTGGACTGTGGGGGGAGGTGGAGCTCTGATTGCTAGACTGTAGGTGACCTCCATATAACACGAAGCTAAATACAATTTCTTTCCTATACACAACCGTCAAATCACAATTACTAGCATTACACTTCACACTACCTGCAGGCTGTCAAAAGCGATTTTAAAGGATTTCAGCCTTTTGAAAAATAAGGACCTAATGGCTGCTGAAGGTAGGAATGCCACGGTCGAAATAATATTTTGTAACAGAAAGATGTCGATATCGAACAATTGTGTGTAGACCGTGACCTACTTTATAAAGCGTTTGACGCATGTGAGGGAGTCAAAGATAATTTAAATAATGTGGCATTCGATGGAGCCTGCAGAGGACAGAATGTGACGTCAGCATGGTAGAATGCGGCCGAGTGACGTCACATGAGATTAATGTCGTGAAACGTGTAATTTTTGTTTGCTTTTCTGTAATTTTAACATGTTTTATCACGCACTATAACATAATGTAAATTCAGAGTGAGCACATGCTGTAGGAAAAATGGCGCCAATAGATTTGCTCGACGCAGAGTTGCCACAAACCTTCAATTTGTGAAAAACGCAATATCTGCGAAGCGCAATAAAGCGAAGGGCAATAAAGCGAGGTATGCCTGTACTTCAGTTTTACTTCAACAGTTCAGAGAACTTAAAAACAATTTCGCATATTACGATTCTGTCCACATACTGTTCACGAGACATGAAAATATATTTATTATTGTCTTTTAGACCACCCAAGCATCAGGCGCTTATAGATCTATGTATTACTCACAGCAATTCTGCTCACATTGTCACATAAAAGTATTTTCTCAAGGAAACAATTCGGTAGATGAAGCCTTAGGTACAGTTCTATCCCCTTTTGGTCATGGACTTAAGTAAAGACACTTTCTAAAATGAAACTGGAAAATAAATGCAAAAATCAATAATCCTTATCCTTCTATTTTCATACTATTTTGAATAGAAAATATTTCCAATATTATTGATATAAGAATACTTCAATTTAACGAATTACTTCTTTTGTATTCAAACGCAATTAAATGGTGTACAGTAATTACTTAATTCTGAATCACAGATCATTAGTGCTCAATGATCACTAGCAGTACAAGCTTGTTAATCCAAATTAGTGAAACTCCGTGGAGTAGCTTTTCTTCAGAATCTGACATCATGTCACGAAATACGCCGCTAGGAACCCGATCTTCATTAAACTCGGTAGGCACTGGAATACAACCGAGACTGGAATTTCTAATCCTCCCGTCATCAACAATATCTTCACGACTGCCTTGAAAACTTCTAAGGTACGAAAATACTAGTGTCATTAAAGTTGGGTATTGAAAAAAATACTGAGAAATGTAAGCGTTGAATAATACAGTATCTATTCACAAGCATAAAAATTCTTCGCGTAATTATTTTATCCATTTCATATATGTCAATTAGCGATTTAATAACAAAATATTTTATCTGTTACGGTACGTGAATTCCATTCTATTTCCATTTTTAATAAAAGAGATCGTTGCAGTTGTTTTGAAAAAGTAACATGTCATATTAAATGGTGCAAACTTACTGACTTTTCTCTGTATAAGTCTGTGGCAATTTGTTTTCTTTTGTTTCATTTTCATTACACGTAGACAGTTACGGTAATAGAATATTAACAACCACAAAGTTGGATAATGTTAACGCAACAACGTTTCAAATGGTTTCTGAATATTAGCCAGTACAAGGTAGCTGAAGAACCATTTTTGACACCCGCTGCTGTGCTGCTTTGCTCAAGAGTAACATCAGATAATGACCTCTTCTTGTGTCAAGGCAAGGAGCATTCAAACCAGATAGCTATGCAGTAACAACATAAATGGGCCCATTACGAGCAACGAAATAAATACTTTAGCAACAGAACGTATTATTATGATCTTAGGGGTTTTGGAAGTTTTCAAGGCAAAACTGGTTCTAAAGAACAAGTTAGTCAGAGTGGACTTGAGAAAACAAAGACATAACGGGCATCTCTGAGTCTTGGGATATCAACAGTCATCAAAATAAAATTATTTGTGTAGTTTGTTGTGTCTATTATTATAAAAATTTGTGATTCCTCGTTGTCTTCAAGAAATTACGTCATCAACAATGCCAACTATAAACAAACTCGGCATTGTTGTGGAACACAACAATGCCGAGTACAACACAACAATGCCGAGTAAACAAATAACGCTTCACTACCGAGCCAGTCGCATTATCACTGCTCCAGAAGAAGCGCGTGGAATCGCATTATTGACAATTTTCTGACAGTTGGCCTAAAACATCAGAAAAGTGAAAGAAGACGTTATCAACTATTTGAAGTATCAACTCTAACAACTGCAACAAGGTAAACTGATACTAATAATACTACTCATATATACTCGATATATTACGATTACGAGGATGGGTGGGGTTGGACGTAGAAAGTTGACTGAACAAGAACAGTTGGCCTCTGAACAGCGACGTAAAGAACTAAAACATCAGAACTATTTAACAAATGAAGCAAAGCGAAGTAAAACTTACAATGATAGACGAGACCATATTAACGACACACGTAGAAAAACTTATTCGGTAAGAACAGAGGAGAAAATAAAACAAGACGCTGAAAAGGAAATTATTAGATATCAAAGTAAATTAGTAATGAAGAACCAAGGACGACTGCTAATAGCAGCACATTTTATGAACGACGACCATCAACAACATTATCTGGGACCTATGAACTATGAATGTATTCATTGCAAAGCGCTTCACTGGCTCCATGAATCGACTCATCGTTCCAGTAAATCGTTTTATGATTGTTGTGCACATGGAAACCCTGATGAACTTAGAAAACTCTTTTCTCTTCGACATTTTCGCAACAAATGTCGTGTTTACAACAACATGATGGCATTCGCATCATTTCAAGCGAATCTCATGGACTTCGGAATTAGTCGACCAGGG